TATGAGCGGACTTTTCCTTTAAGGAACCTTTGGCTATCTGATTGTTAATCAATTAATTGAAAAATAATTAAACTATTAGCAACGTAATGGTTAGTTGCAGCCCTAGTTCCTGTTCTGTAGCGGAAATTTCTGTACATTAGAACAGGTTCTGGAGAAAAGTCCAGTCTGGTTCTAGTGCCACGTTCCTCATCTCCAGTTTTCTGGAACTTTCAGGTACCTCTCTGCTTTAACACACTGGAGTCCAATAATCTGCTCACTTAGAGAACTCTCATTGGATTTTGGGTGTGGCAGCAGAAATGTGTCTAAAATTTCCAGGATGGGACATTAGGAACTCTGGTCTAGAACCAGGTTGAATGGGAGTAGTCTGGTCCAGACCATGGGGCCTGGCTGCAGGAGGAGGGACGGTTCGGTGCCCCCTTCAGCCCGTGACCCTCATGTCTGGATGGCGGAGCCGGTCAGAGCTGTTTGGTTCTGACCGAATAGCTTAAAAAGTCCCTGATGTTCAGAACTAAATTGTTGCTTCTGGTTTTTTCCATGCTGTCTCTGTCTGCTCCTCAAGTAAGTTTGTCTTTGGTTCTTCTCTTCAGCGCTGTTTTCTTGTCCGGTCAATGTTTCTGTTGGCAGCAGGTTCTGAAAGGACCCAGCAGTATCAGAACCATGGGTTATTTACTGGGAATTCGAATGTCTGTCTGGGATTAAATGTAGTCATAGCTTCAGGACAGAACCGCAGATTCTATGGGTCTGGTTCTAAAGAACCTGGTTTGCCAGGTCACTAGTGGGCTGCTGGGGTCATCTGCTGTTAAAGCCGTGACGTCCCGTGGGATCATGTGGATGCTGGGAGGTCGAATGGCGTCCCAACCCACAAGCTCAGACTGGTTCCTTTCTAACCCTGCTGCCTTCTTATGCTTGGTTCTGACTGGTTCTTGAGTGTGGTTCTTGAGTGTGGTTCTTGAGTGTGGTTCTGGCTGGTTCTTGAGTGTGGTTCTTGAGTGTGGTTCTTGAGTGTGGTTCTTGAGTGTGGTTCTTGAGTGTGGTTCTGGCTGGTTCTTGAGTGTGGTTCTGGCTGGTTCTTGAGTGTGGTTCTGACTGGTTCTTGA